AAACTGTATAGATTGGCAGCATTCAGTTCAGTGGTTGTTGGGAGACAGCTGCAAATCCTCCATTGTGCCAAAACTCAAATGCAGTCAAGTGAGCACTCAGGCGCTCTCTTATTAAGTGGCCACTTTAACTGGTGTCATGTGATCTGGTCTGTTGTTTGAGAGTGAATGCTTCTGAATCATGGGGATGTGCAAGTCAAAGAATGCACAGGGTGATTCTTTTTTTTTCCTCTCATGTTTTTATACATGTAATTCAAACCAGTGACACAACAATGTGTTTATTGTTTGGGTTGTAGCACTGTTGTATTAAAGGTAATATGATGATTTGTCTGTTATTTGGTATGAGTTTTCTGTTATGACATCAAGAAGATTTATCTCTTCAACCACATATCTGTAATAAAATCTGTCCAGTACTGTGACACAAATGAGTATCGGAATGAGTCGACACTTAAACAAGAAGTCGCCTCAAAAGAAGCGACAAATCACGGTTAAATCACATTATGAAGTTAATTCAAAAGCTCTTAATTAAATCAAATGAAATCATACAGTGATTAAAGGTGTATACATTATTATTATTGTGTAAGAAAATTAACTGAAACAAATAGCTAAAAGCCCACTGCCAAGGGTTAATTTAGCACTGCCATATCATTTTTGAACAGCTGCCCCAGATCAGTTTTATGATTGAACCAACACCTCCCCAAAAAAGTGGTCTGAAAAAAGAACACATCTTAAAACTGGAAGAATTGCAATTCATATAGTCAGAACATATGGTTCCCCCACTTTGGGATTGCCTGAAAAATGTTTGAACAGCATTGATTCTAGGATGCTGGCAGCTTTGCTCTATGGAGGGCAGTTTCAGTCTGTCAGTCAGTGCACCACTTTGGTCCAGACTGAAATATCTCAACAACTACTGGATGGATTGCCATGAAATTTAATACAGATATTCATGGTCCCCCGAGGATGAATCGTGATGACTTTGGTGATCCTCTGACTTTTTCTCTAGCGCCACCATTAGGTTGACATTTGTGATGTTGAGTGAAATTTCCCAAAAAGATATTGGATGGTTTGTCATGAAATACGGTACACATTCCGCTAAAGAATTCTAGAATAGAATTGTAATCATTTTGGTGTTCACTTGACATTTTATACAGCGTCATCATCTGGTCAAAACTTAAATGTGTCAAGTACTTTGGTTGATGATCAAATACCATCAGTTAAGCCTCAGCTGAGATGCTAAGCTAAGACAGTGATCTCTGTAAAGATTACGCCTACTTAGCATCAGCGTGTTAGCATTGTCTTGTGACCGTTAGTGTCGTGGATAGTGTTAGCATGCTGATGTTATAATTTACTTCAAAGCACTGCTGTGCCTAAATACAACCTCACAGAGCTGCTAGCATGGCTGCAGACTGGCTTTGTCTGAACTCCCTAGTCTTTACTTACTGCTCTATATTTACTAACCCCCCTTTTTTTTTGAGTGTCCAAATTCTGAGTGTGCCATTTTTTTCAGTCTATAGTGTCCTAAAAATTTGCAGTGTCCATGGCATGTACACTACTTCCTGATACCAATCCCACAATGTCACATTTTAGAAAAAATTACAATTGTGTGACTGTAGAGTCACACAATTGTAATTTCATGTCATGTTGATGGCTCAACATGATGATGATTAGTAAGTGTCTGAAATGTCAACTTATTGCTAAGATTCAGGGAGAGGTGAATGATGTTGCTACAGGCGTTCATCCTATCCTATCCATCCTATATCAGGAGGTTACTGATGAGACCGCAGATGTCAGAAAGCTCTAAAAGATGATAAAAAAAAAAAAAAACAGCATATAGCTTACACAACAAATGCAAGGCTCAATAGCTATTGTATTAGCCTGTTGAATCTATGATTTGGTTAAAATTGAAGAGAAAACATAAGACCCATCTTTGTTCAGAACTTTGATGTGAAAGCTGTGAACGCTTTGGTCTTCAGTGATATCATCATTCATCACTGTAATAAGGCCGTTACTATCAACCTCCATCCCTCCATAATTACCATCTAATGTAATTTCAGACGGATTCATACAGATACAGGCTATAGTTTACGCAAACATCTGTTTATTTTGATTGACGTAACAAACCTCATCTTGTCTTGCGCGACCAAACAGAGACCAACGTAAATCTGATTTTGCTTGTTTAGACAACCATTGAGCAATGTAATTTCCATGGCCATACAACAACAGACAGTAGCTCAAACTCAGATTTTCACAAGTTCAGATCTGATTTGAGATCTTTGTCGTGTGTGACCTTGATTCTGTCATGCCTTTCATTCCTGTATGTTTATGCATTTTTAAGGAATAAAAAGGAATGCCCTGAAATATGAAATTTTCACTGTGAAATGAGAAGCCTCTGGTGTTTTAGACAGGCACAAGTGCAGGCTTGTTATTCATCGTATGAATATCCAGCTCTCTTTCCAGCCAAGTAAGCCTTGTATAATAGTCTGTGAGGTGACTTTGAGGATAACTGCTGGTTTCAACCCAGTATACAGTGTCCAGACAGTCTGTGCTAAGATCTGGCTGTTGGCCTATTTAGATAAACACATAACAAAATTTCAAGGTGTGAAGGGACACAAGGATCTCTGACTGTTATGTGTGCGGTCAGTGTGTGTTTGTGTGCTTACATAACACTCTGTGAATGTCCTCATTTGCATATATGTCAGTCTGTCTGTTTTTTACATGTGTGCCAGTCTGTCTCTGTCTGCTGCAGTGTATATGTCAGTCGGTGTCTGTGTGTGGGATTGAGTTCACAGGCTAGACTGGCCGACCTATATTACCAGCACCACTACTACTGACACAGACACTGATCAACTGTAATCTCCACTCACACACACAGCAAAGTCCGTCAGCAAACAGGTTTTATTTTGAGGTTGCAGGATATACTAATTCGGGTAATGCTAATAATACCTTGTAGGCTAGTATCAGAACTATTTGAAGGACAATCCCTAAACTAGAGTAATTAAACTCTGACCTTAACCATAACCTACTTCTACTTATAGCCTTATAGGGAGTCTATAATGCCTGCTGAACACCAGCCATTGTGCTGTGCCCAAAAGTCACACAATTAGAGGATAAGAGGCAAAAACGTAGCATAACAGTGCTACAAGTAGAGACGAGTTATGAAGTCAAAAGTCTACTTAGCAATATTTGTTTAAAGTTTGCTAATGTTAGCTAACAAACCATAAGCTACTGGTCATACCAGGCCAACTTTTCATTTGCAGGACAAAGAAAGTGTTATTCATCCTTTAATAGTTGCATAGTTTGCTATAACTGTGATCTTAGATAATGCTAAAAGCACCATGCCATGTCTTTGCAGTCAACAAGAACACCTTATGAATGTTACATAGGCCTACTCACAAAATGCATACAGTATAATCATAGTTTTTAAAATACTTATTACTGGGAGTTTTGTATTATTATTAGTAAGCTAACAATAAAATTGTTGGTGACACTTAAATCACACTATGAAGTCTCAATTTCAGAAAATTCTCAGTGTTTGGTAAGATGTCATTATGCAAACATTTCTATGCAACAACGCCTGGCTGAACCTGTCACAGTTATCAAACACACACTCAAACACTCAGCTTGCCTTACATCTGGCCCGGTTTTGTTGTCCGGTATGTGATTATGTGACTCTTCTGATGTACAGTTTGTGTAAGAGCTGAACAGGTTTACCTGTCCTGTACATGCCTCTCTGACTGTCCAGTGGACGGTAAGATGTTAGTGTACTTCCCAGTAATGACAGCGAGGTATATTCTAACTCTGTGGCAGTATCAGCAAAGATTTTCCAGTGCTCAGTGCCCATGAGCAAAAGCATTCACATTCCCACATTACTCCAAGGGTGTTGGATGGGACAACCCATGTACACCTTCCTCAAAGCGTACATTATACTGAATCTGCCGCCCTTGTGCCATTACATTTAGTATAGCTATTCTAAAATTACATGAAAATCAATTTGATCCATGAAAGAAGTAACTATATTATCCTTATCTCTTGGAGCAAAAAAACTTACGTAAAGCAGTTATGTGACTGTCACAAACCTGTCACATAATAGGCCCTAGCAACTCAAAGGAGGTCACATATTTTCATTTTTTCTTGCACAATTATATGAACAAAAACAGAAAGGAAATGCCTCTAAAAGCCCACACCCATTGGTTAATTATTATGCCACAACAGCTGCAACTAATTACCCTGTGAAGATTATAGAAAAGTCATCTCAATTAATGGTCGGATCCTTGGAGGGTGGCCTGTGGCTTTGTGGGACTGCCAACAGAATATTTTTCCTGATGAAACATTACTTAAATACATTTTTGGGACGACCTCTCCTTTTTCTTTGTATGCTGTTTTTGTTGGTTGGTTGGATATGCACACTATACACCTTATTTACAGTTAAAACAGTTCTCATCTTACAGAACAATGGCACTGACGGGTTCATAACTGTGTCCATGGTATTTTGTTTTTATTTTTCTAAAATGGACAGACTATTGATGGATCACAGATGTCCACTTTGTGAGACCACACCCCAAGAAACCTAATTTAAGATGATTCTTCTGGTACATGTGACTTGATACATAAATTAAACTATATTGTATAGGTATAGTTATACTGATGTATAACTACTATATTGTATATCCCCCCTCTGATGTTGAAGGGTATTCCACAGTGGATACTCAAAAAAAAACTTTATTTAACATTAATTACCTGGAATAATATCTTAATAATGTGTAATTTGGTCAGTGACCTCTTGTGGTCCCCGACTTGGGCTCCCACACAGACCCGCCACTGTTTACTAGAGTCCTGCTGCATGCAGGTCAGACAGGCTGTCACCCCCCCCCCCCCATCGGTCCCGACACTGGTTACATGGCAGATTGTTTTGTAACAGTTGTACACTCGCCCAATGAGAACAGCTGGCCGGCGTCACATGACACAAGTTTTACATAAGAGTTTTTTTCCTCCTGCGCGGCTCCATTGAGAATAATATCGGTACTTCCTGGACAACAGCATGACCGTGCAGTGTAGTCAGGAGGACTCCCCAGCAGCAGCAGACACAACCATGAGTGGCAGTGGTGGTACTGAGCAGATAAATACCACATAGGTGAGGGGACAGACTTCCACAACATCCTGGACATGGGGACAGAGAGTGAGAGCATGCTGCAGCTCGCAGCGGAGGCTTTCCAGTCTAAAAACTTCGACCTGGCAGCGGATATCTACGAGTGCCAGCTAGCGGGTCTCGGAGATCCAGGGAGCCGGCAGGAGCTGATGGTAAGGCGGGCTGACGCGCTCGCCTTTGGGGGCAAATTCACAGAAGCTTTCGATGTGTACCGACAAGCCTCTGAGATAGAGAGACTGGGACCTGTTCACCTGGCCAACCTCGTAGAGTACCTCTCGGGTAGTATCAGGAGGCAAGACAGGGGCGACAGTCAAACCCCGAGGAGGCAGGAGGTGTTGGCGGCGGTGGCAGCTGGGTGCCCGGCACTTGCTGCCACAGGTTTGGGGTACGAAGACTTCTCCTGCCGGATTTGCCTGAGCTTTCTGTTCGAGCCCGTGACTCTGCCGTGCGGACACTGCTTCTGTAAAAAGTGTCTGGAGAGGGAGAGGAAGGAGAGGGAGCGGCCGGTGATTTGCAAGGAGTGCAGGGACAGCTCCAGAGTAGCCGACGTCCAGACTTACAGGGTTAATGTGGTTCTCAGCAACCTGCTGGCCAAGTGGTTCCCGGTCCCGCACCAGGCCGGCCGGCTGAGGAGGGAGGGCAACGGGCTGTACGCGGAGAGGAAGATGGAAGCAGCGCTGGAGAAATATAACCAAGCCATACTGATAGGTAGGCCACTGAACTATTTACTGGTATTATTTTTGAAACTTTGGAGACAGAGGGACGTTACATGCTGTAAGAAAACTACGTAGCCTAATTTAGCTACTTTTAACGTCATGTTTTTGTTGTTGCTCTTCAGTTTTGAATGTTTTTTTTGCTACATAACTGCGTGGCAGGTGAACTATAAATAAATATCGTGCTGTTTCAATATGACTGAGTTTCGTAAGTGTGTTATATATGCTCCTCTGTGTGGCAGTAGTATGCTGCCTCTGCTGGCACCTGAGGGCCACAGCGCCATGTGTTGGATAACAGGGTTATGTAGGCTGGGCTAGTGGACCAAACATTGCGTAAACACGTAACCCGCCTCCCCCAGCTCCTCATTGTGTAACGTCAAACAATGATTCAGGCAAATGTAGGTCAAGGGTATTATTGCAGGTCACCACTAGGGACACTAATGCTCACAGCAGTGCAAGAGGTTTTATCCTAGGCAGAGGTGTGGTGTTGGATTTGGTCATGTGTGACCTGCAGACTGGGATTATTACCAGTAGTGAAATAACCTCAAATATGCTTAACTATGTTCTGAGCTATGAACTACTATTTAACTATGTTTGGCAGTTATTAAATAGGAATCATAGTCTGGACTGAAGTTTACTTCTTCCCTCACTCACACTTCCACTTCCCACATTCATTCACTTAGCTCACGCTTTTTATCTAAAGCAACTTACAATATCTGCCAGCAACCAGGGGTTGCTCCAGACTGTCTTGCTCAGGGACACATTGGTGGATGTGCCACAGTGGGGGATTGAACCTGGGTCTCTCACACCGAAGGCATGTGTGTTATCCACTGCAACATCACCACCCCAAATTTATAAACTGTATATTGATTTTTATGATTGATGTAGCAACGGAAATGTATTCTGCAAAAAAAAAACACTGGATAAAGTAAATTTAATTGAGTTTAGTTGAATCGTGTGAAATGGAGAATCCCTAGGCAGAAGTATTTCATGACTGGGACACTTGACCTGCCCTCATTTGACCTAACTTTGTAGGGCTGCCGCAGCGCAGCCGATTAACACTCTGGTTGTGTAAGTTTAAAGTTACTCGTTTCACTGACATCTGAATCCTCTGTGAAGTATACCTGAATTCTCCTGGCCGGTCAGTTGGCACCAGTTTGAATTGCGTAAGGATTTTTCAGCTACACCAACATCCCTGTACACTAGGTCACCACCAGTGGAGCATTTATCTGCCAGCTGCTGCAGTGGAGCTGCTCAGACACCAACAATTGACTGTTGAGCTGGGTAGCTTCCACAGTAATAGAATTAGTTTGTCCTGGGTTATTTCCAGGTCTTGGTGTGCACCAGGATGTCATTCAAAGTGGTTTTGCATGGTTGGCAAAGATGTTTTGCTGATTTTGTTTGGTAGGACCGGCTTCAAACTGTGGTGACTTGTAGAAGTGGCCTGTCGCGGATGTTGATCTTTGAAAGCCTGAAAGGCTGCCTCATTAACTATATCATTCAGACTCATTTTTATTTGTTATAAAGGCTCAAAAGTCCTAATGGGACACTTGCTACCTGCTACTTTTTTACTTCAGCAAAGTAAAGAAAAAAAAAAAAAAAAAAGCAGGTAGCGCTGTTGTCAACAATACCTTCTTTATCAATGTATTTTATGGAAATTTATTTTTTGACCTTGAACAAGGTCCAGTCGCCTGCATACTGTTTGTCCTGGGCTGCGTGTGTGTGCTATGCATTCATCACACTCTCAGATGTGGGGATTCACATTCTTACAACTAGTGACAAAGATCTGGTCCCCACAGGGTTAACCTCTTATTTTAGGGTTAAGACAGTTTTAGAGTTAAATTTAGAGCTAGATCTAGGTTAAGATTAGGCTAAGGTTTATGCATGCAGCAGTTAGGGAGAACCTCTAGGGAATTAATGCAAGTCCGTACAATATCCTCAGAGTTATAATTAGCTCAGGTGTGTGTGTGTGTGTGTGTGTGTAACAAGACAGCTTTGTTGAAAATAAGTATTGTGCAGTAGGTTCTGTGCTAAATTATTGTCCTACTTTTACTGCTTTATGTTGTTCATTTATACATCTACAGCCTGTTGGTCTCCTAAAATCTTTGTAATTGTCAGGTTAAAATCCCTTTTGCTTGGGGCTTGTCCCATTCTTCAATTTCTGCTTTTATTTCATGGAGTGATTTATTACCCTTGTCTTGAGAAAAGCCAGGGAAATATTTCGTTGCATAAGTTTTTATTGTTATGAAACCTGGAATGTGGGTGACCTTGATAGTGCGGCACGATTTTCTAAGGCAGAAGTTTTTTATAACATGTTTTGTAATGAGGAAACTTAAATCTTTTTAAACATTCCTTCTTTTTATATAAATTGGAACCTTATGTAAATTCAGTGTTTTAAGACACAAGAAAATAAATAAGTGGTAGCCATGCGTTGATTTTTCTTTCTATATTATTCTGCAGTATGTTGTGAAACAATTGGCTTTGTATAGGGGTCATGAATGAGTATGTTAATGTTTTAAGCTGAAGGAAAGAGTGGTAAAACAATTAGTAGTTGATTAGTTGATTGACAGAATATTTACAACTGCTTTTGATTATAGATTTGTTGTTATAAAGTTATTTAATAAGCACCAATGCCAAAAATTTATTGCTTCCAGCTGTGCAAATTTAGAGATTGTGCTGCTTTTCTTTGTTACATGTTATTGTAAATTAAATATTTGGGTTCAACAAAAACAAGCACTTACATCGCTTTGGGCTCTGGGAAATTAAGATAGACTTTAAAAAAAATTTTTTTTTTTACTGTTAGTCAATAATGAAGAAAAGTTGTTGCAGCCCTTTTTATATGGAACACTAACAATCAAACCGTGGTTGTTAGTAACAACTACATAACTAACTGACTGTCCCTCCTCCCCTCCTCAGCACCCACGGACCACATACTGTTCAGCAATCGCTCCCAGATCCACTCCAGTCTGAAACACTATGAAAAGGCTCTGAGTGACGCTGAGATGGCCTGCAGACTGATGCCTCACTGGTCTAAGGTATGACAGACAAGTTGTGGATATATTCTGTATTAAAAAGTGTAATAATCCGTTTCTCTAACAGCTGTTAGATATGTAATATATCTTCCTCCTGCCTACAGGGCCACGTTCGTAAGGCCCAGGCCCTGGTGTCGTTGGGCAGGACAGAGGAAGCTCTGAGAGAGTATCTGGTCTGTCTGTCCATAGAGCCTGACTGTAGGCTGGCCAAGACTGAGGCTCACAAGGTAAAGCAGGCACAAACAGATTGATATATTTATAACATCTGGAAAATACCCTGTCGTCATGTAGCTGAAATCAGTGTTACACTTCTTATTATTTGTTAATTACATCAAAAAGCTTTACTAAACCTTAAAACTGCTTGGCAAATAAAAACACAGCGTGTTGGTGTACATTTATGCGCATTTCAATAGCGGCAACCTGCATACAAGTCAAAAAGCAACTACAATGCACATTATAAAAGCAATAATACTCAAGAGAGCAAAGAAAACATGAGCATGAGGAATTGATGTATTACCATAAATGCATGTGGAATTATAAGAATACAGAATAATCACTCTTTAATCATTGTCTGTTGTCTTCTCTCAGCTCCTCAGTGATCTCCTGGCTCCAGTTACAGACCAGGTTCCTGAACACATCTCAGACTACTCCAATATACTGTCTTTGAGAGCACACATCAAAAACAGCATTAACACTCCCCTCGAGGTAAGAGATGCTCCACCTCTGATAGTCAGCAGTTTAAACATTGAGGGGACACAAGGTTTCATCATCCTCTCCTTCTCTCAGACCCTTAGTCCCATCTCATTGTCATCAGAGTCCAGTCTTGCCTTTACTCCTCCTGCACCTGAGTGGCCAGAGGGCAGTGAGGTCAAAGGTGAGGGAAAGCTTGCGGTTGGAAGGCTGGACCACTGTTGCCTCCTCAAACGGAAACGGACGAGTGTGGTGGAGGAAGGAGGACACGAGAGGAGCGGCGATCGCAAGAGAGCCAAGCCTGGTGAGCTTTTGGAGTTTAATGCACAAACATGCATGCAGCCGAGCAACACATGCACGCTCTCTACATTCGCAGCATTTGTGTCTTATTTTTTATTTGCTGATCTCTCTGTTCAGAGCCAGCAGGGGTGACTGAAACACTGAGTTCTGTGGTTGGTGACGTCATGGACCCGACCGATCTGGAGTGTTCTCTTTGTATGAGGTTAGATTTGCTTTACAGTTAGGTTCAGACTGAAAGCTTTATTAAGCTCATGCAATAAATCAATTAGCAGTTGTGTAACGTGTGCTAAATTGCCCCTGACAGTTAGACAGACAGAGATATAGCCTGTAATGAAATGATGTGATAGACAGTAGCTTTTTAGGGCATCAAAATACAGAAATACAACCTGAACTTTGTATCTGTGCATTGTACAATGTAATGTTGTACATTGTTTTATCATATATTATTTCTATATTATTCATATATACATTTTGATAATCATTAAATGTGACATCACTCTTGTGTCCATTGGTTTTTCACCATTTCATGTTTGTGTGTTTCCCATTCAGACTTTTCTATGAGCCAGTGACGACGCCATGCGGTCACACTTTCTGTCTTCGGTGTCTGGAGAGATGTCTGGACCACAACCCAAAGTGTCCACTCTGTAAAGAGGAGCTGTCTGAGGTATGTGGTGTTATGCTCCCTTATATTGTTATAACATACAGATTTGACAATAAGGCACCATTCAGTGTGATCTATACTGAATCCAGTAGGGATGCACTGATCCATCTTTTTGCTGATACCAATTCTGATACCAGGGCTTTCTTTTCCCTAAATTTAAAATCTGTGTACCTCACAGTCTTCTTTACGTAAGGTAACATGACGCCAGGGATTGCCATGGGACTAAAAACAGAGTTGGTGGCCTGCCATGACTGTAATGAATGTAACTGATACTGGAAATGCTGAATTTTTATGTAACACTGACGCAGAAACTGAGTTTAATTTGGATCAGTTATGTGATGGCTGATACCCGATCACTCAGTAAGGTCGCTATTGGGGTCAATACAGATCCAGCATATCGGATTGGTGTACACCTAGAGACCAGAATCAAGCACAGAATAAGATGATGTTATGGGACAAATATGACTCTAAAATATCACTCTATGTTCTGCCACTGTAAATATAGATCTGATATAGCGTCTGTGTTTATTTCTCTCCAGTATCTGGTCCAGAGGCAGTACTGTAAGACGGTAATAATGGAGAACCTGATATCTAAGTATCTTCCCTCTGAGCTCATTGAAAGGCAGAAGATCCACCAGGATGAGATGGCTGAGCTCTCCAAGTAAGTTTGTTTCCTCTTCTGTCTTATTATCCGGTTTTACTTGTTCTTTGTGCTCTGTTTGGTGCGATTTGTCTTCCCTTGTCAAATCCAATCCCCTCATATGTTATGGCTTGTGTTAAAGGATCTGTGACTGACATAGCACTCCCCTGAATATCCTCCTCTGTTGTTTGACCTACTGACCTACTGTAGATAACACTTCTAACACACTGATCTCATAGTGTGTGTCACATCAGGCATCAGGTATCGCTCTCCCGGGTTGCCGGAACAAACATGTGTGTCCACTAAATAATCCCTCTGAAACTGTCAGGAAACTGATTGACTCTCACAGTAGCCAATGTTTTTTTGGCATTTGGCCTAATGGTCCACTGTGACAAAAACTGCTGTTTTTGTGAGAATTTGAAGGACTTTTCACTAACGTTAGCATAAATGTTGAGATTGAAAGTTAATTCTTGACCTTGAAAATAAATGTTGTTTTTCCTTGTGCCGTCACTCTGCTGTTCAGCACATTAAACGCATTCTCCTTTTATTCTTGTCTCTCTCCAGTCTTAACAAGAATGTGCCTATATTTGTGTGCACCATGGCCTTCCCCACTGTGCCGTGCCCCCTCCATATCTTCGAGCCCTGCTACAGACTAATGATTCGCCGATGCATGGAGACGGGAACCAACTGTTTTGGCATGTGTCTGGGAGACGACCTCAAAGGGTCAGTGCTAGCATAGTACCTGTGTGCGTTTGGTTTTAGTGTCGGAGTATGTATCCAGGAAGTGTGACAGTTGTCCCTCTCCCTCCTCCTGTGTCTCTAGGTTTGCAGACTACGGGTGCCTGTTGGAAATCCGCGATGTGAAGTTCTTCTCTGACGGCCGTTCGGTTGTGGACACCATCGGCAGACGGCGGTTTAAAGTCATTCAGCACAGAGAGAGGGACGGATACAACACAGCTGATATAGAGTACCTGGAGGATGTTAAGGTGTGAGATGTTGGAAGGTGTGGGCGGAGGGAGGACTGGGGTTAACCAGAGAAGGATAGATAAGTGATGGTTTGATAGAGAATTACCTGAAGATGCTCAAAAGGTGTGTATTTGTGTGTGTAGGTGGAGGGCGTGGCACAGCTTGAGTTGCAGTCTCTGCACGATACAGTGTACGACCAGGCCCTGGTGTGGGTAAACTCTCTGAAGACTGAGCAGAAGGAACGCATTGAAGGACACTTTGGACCCATGCCTGGGAAAGACTCTGTACTTCAGGTACACACAATTTACAAAGTTACTTTATTTATCCTTCTTTCAAATGCTCCTTTCAAAGTTTCATTTTCATATTATGTGGTTTTTCAGAAATCAATCATGATTTTATTAGTTGTAATGCAGAATAAATAATGTATACTGACAGAGGTACAGTCAGTACACAATGAATAGGATTGAGGACCTAAATGTAGAAACTGAGGTAGAACAGGTCAAAGAACAGTGTTCAAATTAACAGGCAAACAAAGGGACCGACTGAGCAAAATATAAACAACTGAGGTAGCTGACATGACACGTGTTAAATACAAATGCATCAGAACAAAGAAAATATATAATCTTAAAGAAAGAATTGTGGTCTTTTTAAACTTGGGTCTGACTAAATATCATGCTAATTTTCCACTTGCCACCTCCATTTTAGAGCTTCAGGAGACTTGACCATGGAAAAACAACATAAACAGGGCAAGATTTCCCAATACATGTCAGTTTTACGTAAATTATTTCAAACACTTCTGAGTCTGTTTCCCAAGTTGCATTTCCCAAATCCCCACAGTCGAGCTGGCGAGTGCAAAGTTAACAACCTGTGTGGTTGTCCAATTAAAACACACCAGAATTTTCCTTCAGAGTTGTTTCTCCTTTATTTTGTTTTTTAAAACCTCCTAACGGTGTCTCCTCCTTTTTCTTCCTCCATCAGACCAGTCCTAATGGTCCCTCATGGTGTTGGTGGTTACTAGCTGTTCTTCCGTTAGAAGGCCGAGCCCAGCTGCCGTTCCTGGCCCTCACTTCTCTGAAAGACCGTCTCAGCGGCATCCGCAAGGTTTTGCTCTTCATGGCCCACAGCAGGCACCGGTGACATGCTCTGGACACCTGGTATATGCAGTACCCACCTGCCCCGCACACACCCTCCTCCAAAGCAGCAGTTGACCTGTTGCTCTTCCTTTTGATGCACAAAGAACTGATGATGATGTTGATGCACCTTCCCTCTTGTAGCACCGTCCCATTCAGAAAGCAGCGCCGGACTCCATCTGCACATCAACAAACTTCAAGCAGCAACGAAGATTATAAAGTTCTGAATGAATAGATATCTTTCATGAGTAATGTTCTCGTCACACCGTACAGAAAACTAAGCTACGTTCAGACAGAAGGGAAGTCTGATTTCTTAAGATGACTGTCATTACAATTCACAAGTGACTACAATTGGGTTGAAACTGAATGTTCAACTTCCGTTACTAAATTGGATGTCACTGTAACAATGCTAATGCGCACATGCTAAGTTTATGTTTTTGTCAGCAGCAAGCTGTTGTGCCGAATTGTCTTCATTTGTCCAGGTCCCACTGTTGCCTTTTTGGCCCTCCTCCATGTTTGTAGTTCTATACTCTTCCTCTTGCATACATGTTGCATGTGGAATGAGATGCTTTTTTTTTTTGACAAAAAACAAACAGACTTTGCAGTCTGATATGGGTGATCGCTCCAAAAAGACTGAGCTGCCTGTCTGAACATAGCTTTAATGCAAAGACAAAGCAAAGTCCCCAGATCAGAATCATACAAGTCCATCTACTGCAAATGGCAACTGGCATTAATTCAACCAATCAGTTTCCCCATACTGTATGTCTTTAAATGTACATATACATAGACCAAACAATGACTTTTTGTGTAAATGCACTCACTACAGCTGGGTGAATAATGATGATAATACTGATTAGGTGTGATTAATTGCAGTGATTGAAACTTTCATCTTGGAAATGTACTCATCTGCTGATTTAAAATATCTCTAAAGAGTATACCCATTACTAAGCGTAGATAGATACAGATAAACCTATATATTTACTCTTTGGCCACCTTTACATAACTTTTAACAATAATTATTTTTATGAGCGATTCTGTCTTCCTTCCTTCCTCGCTTCCTTTCATTCTGTCCCAGTTCTGTCTGGCCCCACATCCTGCAGCTGAATAACAACAGACTGAACCTTTACATTGTCCTGCTTTAAGGCTTTTGTTGTTTTATTCATCCATTGTTAATTTGATCGATTTTGTTTTTCGTTATTTATTTTGTCATTATTTATGCATGCAGTGACATTGTTTACATTTCACAGAAAGAGATGCTGAGCTGCTCACTTTCCAAAGGCTTTTTTTAAACATTTGACCCCAAACATCAGTGATAATGGTATGGGTATTATTACTGTAAAGAAAACACAATCAGGAGGGGGGGTAACATCTTGGAGTCAACATGGCTGCCACTGAAAACTGCCCAGGACAAACTCTGACAACTCCACTTGAGCACAGATTCTCTCTGAGACCAACTATCTTTAGATCACTGGTGACCCAAATCTGTTTCATATTTTTATTGGCTGGTCACAGTCCATGCTATGTTGACTTAAAACATATTTGGATTCCCTTGCTGTCAATAGCAGAGATATAACGCTCACAGGCATGAGGAGAGCCTGTCAGTAATGCAGAAATCAGTGGAATTATTCTTAACAACACCTGGAATTAATCATGTCCTTCGTGTATTTATTCAGTATTTATTCTGACTTATTTTGCACTTCCACTTTAAGTAAGAGAAAGGAGCCTCAGGATATGTCCACTATTAATATTTTGGATTACCACAGAAGAAAAATAAATCTTCTGGTGGTTAAATTGTTCCCTACGTTTAAGCCTATTTACATCTCCTAGCACACAACTGCAAAACATCTCCACTCATATGAGTTTGAAGCTACGAGTAAAGGCTAGTGCCTTCTAATCATCACACCAATAACATGGTGTAGAACATTTTTACATGTGAAGTAGTACATACCAGGTTCATTTTAAGGTTTTCATTTTTCATAATTTTTCTCCTTTCTGGACATTTGCCCATTCAAAACATGATTTTCACAGAAATTAAATATGTATAAATGTGAATAAAACACGAGAAACACATTTTGAAAAGACCCACAAACGTATTTCTGAGAAAAATGTGTTGTTTGAAAAACATCGAGGCCTTGCTGATGCTGTCCATGACATGACTGTTTCTACATGGCAAAAGCTCATCTCTGGAAAACACAAGAGATTGTTGAGCTTCGCCTTCGAAATCTTTTATTTTATGTACATGTGTTTGATTTTACATGTTTCTACGTCAATCGGGTTCTTTGTATTTTATAATTTTCCTCGCTCACCGGTGTGTTTGTCTATACCATTGTTTATTTCATGTCTAATAGCACAGGGAGTGTCCTGTCAAATCATCCACATTTATTATTTTGTATTGAAAGGGCCAAAGCCATGTGATGCTGTAAAGTGGAGAACCTGATAAAGTGTAAAACCACAATCCTTTGAAATTTTCCTATTAATAATATTGGATTAATGCATTATTTCGTTTTTTTTTTACCACAACTGTTAAATTCTATTGGAAGATGCTTGTCTTAAAGAGGCAATTGTACAAACAAAAATCTCTCCACCATATATAAAATCATTGACCCAGCAATTTTTACTGATACCTGGTAACTAGAAACTACTAAGAATCTCTGATGAGTTAGCTCGAACTGGGCTGAGGTAAAGGGAAAGTCCACCTAAAATGAAATCATATAGGCTTCCCATTATTTTTGTGAACATGAGTAAAAGTTCTAAACAAAGCTCGATTAACAAGTTCATCATTGACAGTAAAGCCTCTTGATGTTTCGTCTGTGGAGACCGTCACATTTTTTCATTCCTAATTTAGGCTTTTGAGTTCCCATCAAACTTTGTTTTAAAACTGATAGCTGTGAATTATAGTTCATCTGTGACAGCAGTTCCAGTGCCTTAAGTTGGACTTCTTCCTTTTTCACTTTGATGTATAAATTGCAATGGCAACTTTGGTAATGTTTTGTGCAACAACCTGGGGTTCCCTAAATAAGATCTTAAAATAATCCCAATTTTTTTGTCCCATTTCTTTGAAACAGATCCCACCCTGACCAACTGTCCTGGATAAGTGATATTATCCAAGACAGTTTTTAGTATCAAATGCTCGCCCCCTGACAGCAGCAGTGGCCAGTTTCATCCACTGTAACTGACAGTATTTGATCTTGTTCCAATAGTACAGACAGATATGAAAGGGGTATCAATCTTCTTAACTAACTCTCGGCAATAACGCCAGTAAGCCTATTTCCCAAAATATCAAACTATGCTTTAATTAGACTGGATGTGTAGGATTTCTTGGAAGCAGATTACGTAACGGATGGTTAAAAGTAACTGGAGTCAGGTTTATAATAATGCAAGTCCGTTCTCTCAGCACAAACAACTCCACCATAGTCCAGGTTCTCAAAGACATTGTGGGATTGAATTGACTTTTTCCCCACACTGAAGAACAACCCACTTAGCTTCATCCCCTGCAGTCCTGGTTGAACCATATTAATAACAGATGTTTAAAAAATATATGGAAATAGATGAATATTTTTATCACTGATGAGATTCTATATGCTTGGATTATCGCAGAGATGATTTCAGCAGGTGTTAATTAGGAAACTGCACAGGTTGTAAGCTGTGACCCAGTTGGGACATGAACACAGTGGCATTTATCTTGGCGTCAGGGTGGGCTTTATGCTGCTGTTGCTGCTTGATGGTATCATTGTGGAATTTTTGTAGCACTCATTACAACTTTGATCATGCTGACTACCTGGCGCTGACACCAGTCTTTCCTCTGTGCTTTTTAGCGTTGGGTTAACAGAGCATCCAAGAGTTGCCCACCAACACACTTCCTGTAAGCTGTAGGATTGTGCACGGAAACTGCTTGTTCACTGACAAATAACGATACAGATGTAGAAGAAGTTGGATCTTTTTCGTCTTTTGTTTTCCAGCTATGCAAAAACAGTAGGATGTTGGGTTATTGCCCATCGATACCTTCACCTTTCAGAATTCAAACGTTGACCTTTTGAAGAAGTGTAACTACCTCTGGCATCCTCCTACAGCACTTCCACAGAGAGAGAGAGGGGAAAATATATGCTTCCTAATATTGTTGTTTTTCTGTCATTGTTGTTTAATCTATGTTGAAAATGTAAATTGAGAGTCTAAACAAATATTGAATATCAGTGTCCTGTCAGGTACTTCTGTTCAGATTTGTGCCCATGTTAACAATGCACCATCTTCATCAGCACTTCACACCTGTGAGAGATTATATCACTACTAAAACTGCAAAGCTGTGAAGTCAAAGGTTTCTGTGTAATGTATTTGATACTGATCCCAAATATTTGAACTATTAAGGAGCACTTGATTTATCTTTCCTGGCAAATTGAACAGCTTCTTGGAAACAAAGTATATGACCTCTTGTATGTCCTCTTCTGTTGAAGTGAGTTGACTAAAACACATCTAACATGACTTTCTTGCTTTGCTAACTATTTGGCCTCTAAAAATCTTCACAGAAAGCTTTGCTGAGCCTCTCATGTTTTCAAATATTTGCAATGACTTCAGTTACTGCATTGCCTGCTTCTTTCAAAGGTTGTTAATCTCCTGTAGAACTCCATGGCCTCTAAATGTGTCCGGGTGAATTTGCACAAAATGAATGTATGTATGTCTTGACATCTCTCTTGATGTTTTCTTGCTGTTTTTGATAGTAAAACTTTAGTATGCATTGCATTTGCAAAAGTACAGTCTGAAGCTTGTGAATAAACCCAAAGGTTTGTGTTCTTGATCCTGCATGGGAGTCTGAACACACAGGACTGGATGAGAGTCTGACATCTCCTTTGTTTGTGTTCTTCAGGGCTGGCTGACTTTCTTAGAAAGTAACGGTTCAGATTACTGGCAACATCACTGAGTTTATGTTCAGTAGGTCATTAGATGAGACGCCCTTCTATATCATCTTCATCAAGTCAGCATTTTCAGCAACATTTTGTTACAAAAACCTTCTAACTCCAGTTGTCCAGTTACAATTTATTGTTCAAATAAATAGTTTTTCTTTAAAATGACATGTAGTTTCACAAGGCTTTACAAAGACAAAACATAAACAAAAACATAAAGGATTACTTTCACACATTTGATACTGTCACAGGATTGAGACCGCTCTCATGTTTCTACCATAAATATGAAGTTACGGCCAACAGATGGTTAGCCTAGCTTAGCATAAAGACTGGAAACGGGGAAATGGCAAAGCCTGGCTCTGTCCAAAGGTGACAAAATCCACCTACCATCACCTCCTTAAGCTCACTAATTATATAGTTATGTTAATATTATATTGCTTGTTTGTTTAATCGTTATGCTATGCTAAGCTAACCGTTCAAGCTTTAATATTTATATATTATTTGTACAGACACAAGGGTAGTATTCATTTTCTGGACTAACTTCTGAGGAATTTTTACTAGCTCACAGCTGCTATTTATGCAAATATATTGGTAATGATCTTAGATTTAATTTCTTACTCCAGGCTAATTTTGATATATGGTTAATTAATAGCTATAGTTTCCTAACATCCAGTGTTATTCACAGTAATTTCCCCTTAAGTACCATTATGGTTGGAAAATGAATCTTATTGCACTTATTATCGGTCTGTTCTAGCTCTTCATTGAAGCCATATGATGTTCACACTGAGTGAAATATTCAAACCCAAGACATTTATTTTATGGCTGCACTATTCCATCAACACACTTCCCCCCAAATTCTTAGGGTTTGAACAATGTTTAGTTGCACAGTTTGCACTTCTATTGGCGGTCCTGACTGTGGGATTAGAGAGGTTAAAAAAATCTAGCTGCAGAGTGGAGGTGAAGAGGAATGAAGTAGGTTAACATTTCAAGTTGAGTGAGGTTAGGTTAGATAAATGCAACACTGGCTGATATGTTCAAATGTTCGCAATGTTGTATTTGACAAGTTTTTCTTGCTTTATACCAGTAGGCTAACGATTCACATTAAGAGTTACTCTTCATCAACATTAAGAATTAGGTTAGCAGTGAATAGAAGGTAGGCAAAATAAAACGCTGTAGGTTACGAGGTTACAGCCAAAACCTACGGTTGATACAGTAAATCTGCACTACTGCTCATAAAACCAATTTGGGTCAAGAAAACATTCCTCTTAAGTAGACGGTCTCTGGAGAAAAGTCTGCAAACCACTGATGGCAGATTCAAGCAGAGTAGTTAGTAAAGAAAGAGGAGGGTGGGGCGGAGGTGGGATAAACGAGGCAGACTAAACTGTGAGAAGCCAAGAAAGGATTGTTGAAGACAACAAAACCGACACTTGTAGAGAGAAAACAAGCAAAAGAGAGTGTGGAAGAAATCTTACATGTGGAGCGACTCTCTCTTGTGCCGTTCTATTCAATTTTAAACACTCAGACGATTAATGTGCAGCTCAAGGACAGACATACACAGAAGAAGAGAGGGGAAGCTGGACTGACAGGAAGACAGTTTATGCAAGCAAAGGAAATGTAGGTCACTCCGTCAGAGTTATAAAGACAAAAAGTATTAGGGCAAATGTAATACACGTAGGAAAGAACAGTGTCTCCTTCCCTTCCTGGCTCACTGTTTATTTGTTACTCAGTTTAATTGCACTGTAGATTAGCAGGTTCATCTCGCTGCAGTCCTATAAGGACTCTTAGAGGTTTGAAGGCCTACTTATGCCAATCCTAGTGCCTCTAAATATAGAGGCGTGGAAGCTTAAATGAGACCAGCATATTGCATCCTGTAAATTTCCGTCATCAAATCCTCTACTTGGAGTATAGGATCTATCCTGTTTATGCAAATCAGCACTCACCATGGACTGGACTCATTCAAGCGCGCAGGTTGGCCTTTGTGGAATAACTACTCAACCACAAATTAATATAAATTGCATCGCAGTAAAGACCAGTAGCAAATAATTCCTCCACAACCTAAACAGTTATTTGGAGGTTGCAAAATCTTATTTAGGGGTTGTACCAGAACAGGTTTACATGGTTTAATTTTCAAAAAACACTATATTTTTTGTCATACTGCACATTGTTGCAGCTCCTCTTTTCACCCTGTGTGTTGAACGCTCAGTTTTTGCTACGGTGTGATGCATCTTACTTCTACAAGAGGTTTGTGCTGCAGCTCAGGGTGTTTTTCCACCTGTGTTTTTGAGACTAGTAAGCGAACATTATGATGGCGTATTTCGCTGTGATGTCGCAGCAAAGTGGAAAAAAAGCTGGACAAACAAACTGTTTTCAAGCAGCTCACAGCAATGTTTTCTGTGCGCTGGACTTTGGGCTTTTTCACTTTGAAAACCTATTACATGCACAAAAAAAATATACAACTCAACAAAGAACAAACAAACAAATAAAAAAAACCATTTTGTACAGACATTCATGTTCCCCAGAGGATAAATCCTAATGACTTTGGTGATCTCCTGATGTTTCATCTAGCGCCATCATTACGTCAAAATTAAATTGTTTTCCAGCACTTTTGTTTATGACTAAGTACCCCCCCACACATCAATTTCAGCTGCACGTTGTGTTGTGTTAATTAGCAAATGTTAGCATGCTAAACTAATATGGTGAATATGGTAAAGATTACCTGTCGAACATTAGCATGTTAGCATGCTGGTGTTAGCATTTACCTCAAAGCACTCTCTGAGCTACTTGCGTGGCTGTAGAATCTTACTTGTTTAAATGAAAACCATATATATTTTTTTATTAATTATTAATATTAATTATAAATCCAGAATTCCAGATCCTTTCCCTGTGGAGTTTTCATGTTCTCCCCGTGTCTGCATGGGTTCTTTCCAGGTGCTCCGGCTTCCTCCCACCGTCCAAAGACATGCAAAGTAGGTTAATAAACTATAGTCACCACCAATTATTTATTTCATGATGCATGTGAATTAATGTGTAGTCTCTGTAAATGCTATGTGCAACTTACCTCTCATTGTGCAGCTTGGTCCTTATTTGTGTCTTAGTATAACTTTTATATCAAACTTTAAATAAACACTTGAATGATACATTATGTCATCATGTCTTCATATATACAGTAAAGTAGTTTGTACAAATAGCAGTCACTCAGAACATGTGACAGGGAAACTGTTACAATTTTATGTGTAAAACATTAGGAAAGAGTGCGACTGAATTTAGGGAGGAGGACCTGTAATCTGTCTTTAGCTGTAAATGTGATAATATTCTCATCGAACACAACCAGTGTTGTCGTTTTTGTATTAATTGAAATTCACTGTCAGAGTGGTGTTCAAATGGTCAGCTATAATGTCACTGGAAACACTGACAGTTTGAAAATCCAACCTCACCCAGTCCAGGGTCACCCCAGTTCGTACAAAGAGGTCAGTGAGGTTGGGCCAGTCCGACCAAACCCCAAAGCATGCAGAGCGTGTGTAACTATTTTGCTGCTGTGTTTCTTGTGGAAGTCCAGCTCTTACTCTGCTGCCAGAGAGATGTTGTGTCATCTCCTGTTAAACAAAAAAGTAAACACAGTAAAACTTTAGCAACCTATCTGACAATCTAACAGCAAATAAGACAGCCTTAACAGCCAATACATATAGCTTTTGGCTACTTTTCTGTTTGTAGGTTCTTAAAGCTGCACTAATCAATATGAATGACCAGTAAGTCACCTGACTCTGCAGCACCCTTCAGCTCCACTGAGACGTCTAGAAAGCCGCAGAGCATTTAAGCATCTTTCAGTTCATTTTGCAGGTTTAAATATTTTGTCAACCACAATACAAGTGCAGTGGAGGTATGGGCAGAAATTTGTGCCCATATGGAGGACCTGTTTAAACTCCTCTAGGCAGTGACGAGTCATTTAATGTATGATACAAACACGGGGGTGGTTCAGCATTAAAGAGATTTCAACACAGCATTATGAGAACTGTAATTACTTCTTACAAGATGTTCAGTGATCTCTTACAGATCATAGTGCTTTAAGTGAATACTAATACCCCCCCCCCCAAACCCCTCCTCACCTCAGTGCTTCTGATTCCTGCCAAGTTGGTTATATAACCTGTAAATGAGAAGGTCAGCACCCAGCAGTCATCGCTATGGATACTTGGCACAGACACACATCGTACATCTTGGCTGGTCCAGTTTGGAGCCATGTGTGTGTGTGTGTGTGTATCAGAATTAGGGCAGCAGCGGCGTTACCTAACTCACCCAGAAAAGACATCTGGGGAGTTTAAGCAGCCCTCTCACTGATTACAACTTCCTGTATGTGCACACACATACACACACCCACTCGCACAGACCATCAATCATATGCATGCAAACATACTCTCATGCTGTACACACACTGCACACACAAACATTTGGCTCTAAATTCTGGCCACACACAAGGAGAAAGTCACATCTCACACAGCACACACGGGGCGTGCTGTGCACATGCCAAGACTGTACAGTGAGCGTTCAAGACACTCTTGTGATGGTAGTACTTATTCAAAGTACTGTAAATTATCAGTTTAAAATGATCTTTTTGTGAGAGTTTAATACTTTATTGCATTATGAAATGAGTTTTTATTAGTGCTCAATATTATAAATTCAAATGAAAATGTAAATTCTATATACTGACTGAACACTAAAGTAAAAGTCTCATGAAGTCTCATAAAAACTGTATAATGTTTTCTGAGAGTCTGGAGGAGCTTTCTGAGTCTAATGAGATCTAATAAAGATGGCATCGAGGTGCATTATGGGAAATGTAGGGACCAGCAAGTTGACCCATATGGGAGGCATCTGATTTATTTTTGACCATTCCTTTCTGTCTTACTTGTGAATACCCCATTTTTGTAGTAGGCTACAATACTAAAATTAACTTCAATAGGACATTAGGCTGTTTTGGGGATTGAAACCAAGTCCAAAAAAAGTTATAATTTTGTTTCAAAGGTTTCATTTCACTTCCAGGGATGAAATTGTGGTTGATTCTCTCCCGAGGACGCCAAAATGCCCAGAAAAAAATACAGAGACGCCTCAGTCTCTTTAGTGGCAACAGAGATGCTGACAAATACCTATAAAATACAGTATCTTCTTTTGGCATAGAAAATATCATGTCCAGACACTCATGTGGATTTATTCTGCAGGTATTTTAACTTTCACATCAAAATGGCTGGACTTTGTTGTTAAATGGCAAATAGCATATGGACAGGAGCTGGGGCTTGAACCGCCAACCCTCTGATCAGTAGACAATCCACTCCTGAGCCTCAGCTGCCCTGTTTTATACTGTAAGAAAAATACCTTCATACGTTTCCTTTCTGATTCCACTGCAGAAACAGTGCATAGACAGACAGGTGGCAACAACAACAAAAAAAAACGGAATAAAAGGTGATTACTTTAGTTGTTTACTTCACATTTTATGTACAGTCAAATTCTCAAAAGGCAATACAAAATAAAACAAAATGCATAAAACATATAGTTAACGTGAGATAGATAAGATTCAAAGAAAACTTTCAGCCATGAAGCTTGCTTTTCTTTAGTGATGCTTTGCATCCTGTGGCAAATCAATCTCCAAGTGGCTAATTAGCGGTATATTCATTTCTGTTTAATTTACAATGGAAAATGTCTCTTGCTGCCAACGTAGTGATGCATTGAAAAGTATTAAAAAACACATGACAGTCAACGTGATGATAGTTTTTCATGATTCCAGAACGGATAACGTTTTGTATATTTTGTAGGTTTCTGTAGGATGGCAGATAACTCTGTAGTCAAAATATCAAAAGAGAGAAATTAAAAATATAATTTACATTGACAAACTGGAACATGTTGGACACACTCTGCAGTCGCTAACACAACAAACATCATTAGTTAAGTGTCTGTGGATCATGTTACAAGAAATATATTTATCTAACGAACCTGATACACAGACAGCAGTTTGAGGAACCGGATCAGCAAATTTGACCAGAAATCTCGACCAGCAGCAGTTAGTCCAGCGAAATGTTCTCCAGCTTAACTTGGATGTTATCCCATTTATTCTCTGGCCACAATATTTTCCACATTCGTCAAAATGCAAGCATGTATCACAGCCAACACACACACACACACACACACACACACACACACACACACACACACACACACGGGAAGGCTTGGAGACTCCCCACTTTCAACCAACTTTCTGTGAATAAAGTATCCTCTTTAGAAAATAATGTCTCTTTCTTCCCTTCCCTGAAATGTTTAGTGATATCAAATTGAATCATCTGTGTTGGTTTAGATAAAAATGAATACTTACTGAGACTATAGGTATTTTCTCCCATTCAGGCACCTTCTACCCTGTCATTTAGAAAACATGAATGTACAAAATAAGGACGTAAAGAAAATAGTTAAACTGAGCCGGTCTTTAGCTGTGGAGGGTTTGTACCAATCCGAAGCCTTAAGCCAGGATAGAAACCAGGAAGTAAGAAAGCAACAGAAAACAACAACTTCTTATGTGCAAATGCATTCTGGTCCGTCCAGACTCTCGGCCCACTTCAACCTGTGCTCATCACTGGACAATCTGGGGCATCTCGCTCCAGGCTTTGGCCTTCTTCTTGGCCAGGGCCATCCAGGGCGGCTCATCCTGAGGCAAGGCTTGTGGAGGAAGGCCTCGCTGCGAGGGCGGGGTCTGGGTGGAAAGCCCTGGAGCTCTTGAACCAGATTTTTCCGGGGCGGTTCTCGATGAAAAAGGAGGGGAGGTAAGTGTTGTGGTCTGGGGAGGGGGTGTCTTGGATGAGGTGGCCGTTTTGGAGAGAGATGGCGGGCTCGTGCAAGAGGGAGCTTTTTGGGTAACAGGAACCGGAGTTGGAGGTGACAGGGATCTTTGGGGTGGGTTAGGTTGAGGTGGATGTTTCGCGGTGGCAGGGGGAACCTGGGGTTTTGGAGGGACAGGGCAGGGGAGTGACTGGGATTTAGGAGGTTGAGATGCCACAGGAGTCGGAGGAGAGAGCGTCCTCCTGGCCTCCTTTTCTATAGACACTGAAGGCTTACCGATCTCCAGCGGACTCACTGGAAGGAAGAAAAATAGAAACACAGACACGTCAAAGAAAAGAGAGAACATTTTCTGAAGGAGGCGTGTGATCGCTGTGTGTGCTGATGTAGATCGACATGATTTTTGGATGCATTGACATTAATGTATTTACAATGGGAGTGAATGGAGCCTAGCTAAAGGCTTAAATGTATTACGTTATATAACTTATTTGTACTGTGGATGGGTAAGGAGTTATTTATACACACAATGTGTGTGTACACACAAACACATACATATATATACACATTGTAATGTGTGTTAAAGACCATTTTAACCTTTATTTTAACCTTTGTGAAGTGTCTTTGAGGCCATGAAAAGCGCTCCAGAAAATAATAAGTATTATTATTGTTATTAATCTTTTTTGTTGTTGCAAGGAATACCTTCATAAATATGCAAATTAAGGCAAAAAATATACATATGCAGGAAACTGCATATCATTTTGCATGTAACAACATATGACTGATATTAGAAGCGTAATCGTTTTTTGAGTTAAAAGTGGGCAAAAGAGATACAGAAGAATACTAAGAAGTTTTGTTGCTGCACAGAAATCACACCAACTACAGAGCAAAGAACAGTCGTAATATGTAAAACAGCACAACTCTTTTGTATGGTGAACTATTTTATAGAATCTGTGTTTTTTTTTTTCCTCTTTATACTCCATTCTGGAAAAGCACTATTTTCCTATTCTAAGAGATTTTGTATTTTTGTCCAATTACCCATTTCACCTTTCTCAAAAATTAAGAAAAAACTCTCACAGTTGTATTTTTGATACATTTTTATCTTGATCAGTTATATCTGTGTGAGCCAGTTGTCATGTGTAATCAATTCAAACATAAAGTACCTCAGAGAACACACACTGTATGGATGTTCAAATGTGACGTGAATTGAATTTTGTTGGGTCAGTTGCGGTAGCGAAGTTTTTCCAGATGAGGGCAGCATTGCATGGGTCAAAAGCTTTACTTGCATGCAACAGGTCAGGGTGCAGAACAAAAAGCGGGAAAAGTGGCATTTAGTGTACTCAAAGCATACCCAAGTCAGCACAGCAATTCAGCATGTCGAGTAGAAAAATTCAAATTTCTAAAGAAAACCCTGTTGGGATGCTTCCATGCTACAGAGGATGTGTCTTCTGTAAATGAAGCAGCACAACATGTTTTACAATTTCAAATGATAGGGGTGTGTGTGTGTGTGTGTGTGAGTTCTGACCTTTCCCGGTGGACTCGGCTGTGTTGTTACTGTGCTCCCGGCTTGCAGCTGAGCTTACATACATCGGCAGTGAACTCTTCCTCCCTTGTTCCTCCTGATGACAGGGAGCAGCAGAGTTAGTTACACAGATTATGTGGCTGGAAATGTGTGGTGATGTACTGTAAACACATGGAAGCAGGTCTAACAGAAGAGCAAAACAGCATATATAATGATCCCATCCAAGTGCACTTTCATTTGAACCACGACATGTGACTCTTTAGAGGCTAATATAAAAAACAAAATGCAATGCAATTATTGTTGTTGGTAAAACAACAAATAAACTAAACATCAGTCATCTTATAGAAAGTGGGCACCTATGTTATTGTCTTTCTTTAGTAGTTTGCTTTTGCACACAATCGTAGCCACATACACACAGAGTACCTTCTTGACAGCTATCTCTTCCAGTGAGTTTTCTTTATAGATCTTCTGTTTCTGTTTGGCCACAGAGATCCAGCTGGGAGAATCAGATCCACCACGAACTGCAGCTGGGTCTGAATCAATAACACAGCAGATACAGTGTTACATCCTGGGCTGAATCAGTCGGATTTAGCCCACGTTTTGAACAATTACAAGTGAGCCCCTTCTACAGTATATAAGAAAGCTATAAGCCTTATGCACTTAGTGTAAAGTCAGTATGTGAGAGGATGTTTGTACACACCTGAGATACGCTTGTTTTTCCCTCCATTATCTCCATGTACATCTGGTTTCTTAGGGAGGGTAGGCTTGTTGCTGACCGGCTGACTTATGGAGGGCTTTATAATGACAGGCTGTGGTGAGTCTACTTTACAGCTGGTTGGCGGAGCTGGTGGCTCAACGGGAGGCTGAATATGAAAAACAATATCACATAATAAATACAAAATTCAATGCAAAAACTCCCTTGCATTTGTTGCTTTTTGACCACTTGGGGGCAGCAGAAACAAGCTCTACAAAAACACTGACAGATTATCACCCTAGAAAGTTGATAAGGCGAACATTAGCGTTAGCAAACAGCTGCGTATTAATACATCCAGCAGATAGGGAGCAACATTAGTCTTCATTTAGTCCAATGTAAGTCCAATATTCGCTTTTCTTTTATCGTTATTCATGTTTTAGAACTTTTTTGCTGAAAAAAGCAACCATAAGTTTAGGGCCCTGAAACCAAAACAATCAGCAACACTTTTTCCACATACAAGCAGCTTTGGATTCCTGCAGAAATCCTCAAAATGGGACATCTTCAGTACTTTTAAAAGATTTGCAGTTTTTTTTCCCAATGTGCAAGTACCATCAAAGAAGAAGCTTTCCCTAAACAACAGTAAAGTTGGGGTGATCACCTCTGTGTTTTCCTCCTCCGAGCTGAAGCGGTGCAGAACAGACGTCTTCCTCAGCCGAACTCCAAATGGATTGTCGGGGTTTCCCTCCACTACAACAGAGTAGGTGGAAGGAAGTTGGTCTGCGCTTTATTTTACCTCCAAAAGCAAGCTCACCTCATGTGACTTAGACCAGACTATTTGCATTTTTTTTGGTGCAAGGACAAGGGGAAACATGACCGGGAATAATACAATTTCAGTTTAGGACACTTAAAAGGCCCAGGAGAAAGACAAGACGAGCATGTTCAACATCCTTACCTTCTGCGCTCGCAGCAGTTGAGGTCGGAGCTTTATAGGGGGGTGGAGTTGCATTGCTCTGTGGTTTGGCAGCGGTGGTCCCTGCATTCCTCGCTCTACCAGGACTCAACACTAGTTCAACCTTAGCTGAACTTGCTGGCTCTGCTTTCACTTCGGGGTCCTTCTTATTTGCAGCCACGGCCTCCACACCTGCGGGCCCTGTGACGACGGACGCTGAAGAGGAGACGCAGCTGGGTGAGGACGAGGGAGGAGTCAAACTCTCTTTGGCATCTTCTACAGAGAGTGATCTCTGCCAGGCGGGGGCGATGGTGAAGCGGGCTTTCCTCTGATCTGAACCACTGGATGGCTGGTTCACCGTTTCCTCCACAGAGGCAGGAGGTGTAGCTTCTTCCTCCGGGGCCGACTGTTTCTCTTCTTCTGCTGTTTCTACTGCGTCAGCTGGTTCTTTTTCTGTGGATGCTGTATTTTGCTCTGTGGATGCTCCACCCTGAGAATGTGTCTCACTTTCTTTGGTATATGCATTAGGTGAAGACTGTTTAAAGAAAGATGTGACCTTCTCTGAGCTTGGAGAGAGTAGATTTATGTGGAGTGTGGTAGTGCTGGTCTTACTGGGAGTGCTGGCTCCACTCTCTTGTGATGGAGTCTCATGGTGTGACTCTGGAAGAGACAAAGAAGAAGGCTTGGAAGAAACATTGGCTTGTTCTGCAGCTTCAGTTTGATCGTTTTCAACTTGCTTCGTGCCTAAATGGGATATTTCTACACCTCCCTGCTCCAGATCCTGCTCAGTTTGATCCAGATTCTTCTCAGTTTGATCCAGATCCTGCTCAGTTTGATCCAGAGCCTGCTCAGTTTGATCCAGATCCTGCTCAGTTTGATCCAGAGCCTGCTCAGTATGATCCAGAGCCTGCTCAGTTTGATTCAGAGCCTGCTCAGTTTGATCCAGAGCCTGCTCAGTTTGATCTGCATCAGGTTGATTTGCTTCACTTTCTTCCCCTTGGTTTGAATTTTGTTCTGTGTGCTTGATCTCTGCGCCTTCCTGCACTCTCTCTTCTCCATCTTCTTTCTCCTCTCCAAAGCTTTGACTAGAAGCTGCTTGACTCTCATGCACTACGGCAAATACCTGATCACCCACTTCTGTGGGGATTTCATCATTGCTGCTGTGTTGTGGGGTGTACACAGCGTCATCTCCAACTACAACATCTACACCCTCATCTGCCCCCCTCAGCGGAACGGCACTTTTAACTTCTACTTCTGTTGTATCAGGAAACGTCTCTGTCATCTCTTCTGCATCGTCCCTGTCTTCTTCTATCGCTTCCTCTGCCTCCTCTACTCTCTCCTTTGCCTCCTTCACCTCCACATCGTCCTCTTCCTTCTTCTCTCGTCCCTCCTCCTCCACCTCTGGCTCCTTCTCCAGCTCTATCGCCTCCTCCTCTCCCTCACTTTCTTCGACTTCTCTTTCCTCTTCCTGTTTGAAAGAGTTTCCCATAAGCCTATCATTTTTTTCCTCGGGTTTGACTTCCTCTGCCTCCTCTTCATCTCCTTCCTCTTCTTGCTAGAAGATAAAACGGAGAGAGGAAAATAAGGGAAGTAGAAATTTGAGTCACAGAAGAACCACACCAACATTTGGGCATTCAACAATTTTCTACAATCTTCTCTCAACTATGATCAAAATTAATGAGAGGCCCTGATCTGTTAGATGGTTAATTGTCTGGCTTTCTCCGCAGGGGGATTTTCTTTTATAGCAACTTGTTTTGACAGCTTTAACACTTCAGTTGTTGGTAGTTTTGGTAGTGGGTTGGAGAACATCCTCCATTTTACCTGACAGTGTAACATCACCTGTAATGGAATCTTTTATGTCCTCTTGACTGTCTAACTTGATGTCAAACCATTCCCTCTTTGTTTCTGTCCCTGTCTCACTCTGCGTTGACAGTGTTGACAACCGTAGTGATACCTTCACATTTTTTTCAGAGCCCCTGACATCACTACTGACACTGCTAAATTTGTTTTTGCCTGCGGATTTCCAACAGCAGGACTAAGAGGACGCTACTGATTGAGAAGCTTTTTACGGACGTGATATTTTTGTGAATGAAAGCTGCGCCCAAATGGAGCAGAACAAATTGCCTTATATAAAGACAGAGATTGGTGAATCCCACTTGGAATTGGAGGAGTTTCACTGGTTTTTCAGTCATGACATTACAAATGAATCAAAAGATACATACACCATGTTGACTGACATGTTCCACCACTAGCTCCTCTTCCTCTTCCTCTGCTGCATCTTCATCCTTATCTTCAACTTTCTCCTCTTCAACATCTTGACAAGAAGGACTACTGGTGCTTAAAGTGGCAGCCTCTTCCTCTTCCTCTGTGGTCTGATCTGCCAGAACGGAGCCAGCCTGATAACCGACAAGCTCATCCTCCTTTGCCTCCCCCTCCTTCACCTCCTCTCCTTCTTCTATCTGTACATCTTCTCTTTCCTTTTCTTTCATCTTCTCCTCTATCTTCAGGACAACGTCCTCACTCTCCACGTCCAGTGAGCAGGACGCGATGGGAGTCTTCAAGGAGCTCAGCACCTCCTGCAAGAAGGAGCTCTCCTCGTCCCTGTTTTCCTGGACTCCATCTTCTTCTCCTCTCAGCGCCAAGTCACTTTCACCCCTGTTCTCCTCGGCTCCATAGGCAATTCCTGGCGGGTCCATCAAGTATTCTCTTGGACCAGCAGGGGGCTCTGGCGTGGATCTAGACACAAATATGAAGGGGTCAAATTGATAGAAGGAGAAAACAAGGCAGACTGGAAAGAGGAGAAAAGAAGGAGGAAATGACATCTACTCACCGGGGACTTTCCACAGAGGAGGCTCTCGAGCTGGGTTTGAAGGAGGGCAGGGGCTGGACCTCTGGGGCTTCCTCCTCTGAGAGAGACGGCTCAGGAGGAGAGGAAGTGTCCAGGCAGCGAGACACATCCTGTTCTGTGACGGACTCATCCTCTTCCTCCTCCCTCTCCTCCTTATCACTCAACAGGGATGGCCTGAAATGTTGTCTTTGATCCTCAGCGTCCTCGTCTGCTTCTTCTTCCATCTCCACTTTTGTTTTCAGCTCATCACCACTTATGGCTGGATCACAGACAGACGCAAAAGTCTCAGAGATCAATGTGATATGAAGCAGTGGCAGCAACTATATGGAAGTCTATGGCTGCCAATGTTAAAATGAAATAGTTTAACCACATCAATATTCATTAGCAATTTGTGTCTGCCTGTTGTTTGACAACAACTTTAAACAATATAAAAATGAAAAAGCCCAATTTTCATATTTGAAAATGCATAATTTTTCCAATTCTAAATAAAAGTTTTATGTTTATTATCATTATCATAAGATAATTAAATTATAAGTGAAATGGACTTGGACCTACATTAGAAAGTTTAGTGATATCCTGATTTCAGTTAATTTCTAATAAATCCGAGCATTTTCATAACAGCAGGACTCTCCCGGGGTTCTTTTTGAAATCTCTCAAAGTTAACCAATATAAAAAGCTAGTCCGGACATGGTTTTATTAAAGCTATTTCATTTTCAAGTTAAAGTTGCTAAATGTCTAAAAAAAAATTTATATAAATTTAGGAGTAATTATGCATTTTCATAACCTATTATTTTGTCTTACAACACAAATGGACAACAGAATTTAATTAGATTAAAGGATTTCATTTTAATATTGGGTACTTAGAGACTTCCATACATGCAAAGTCATTATAGATATATAATAGATATAAAGTAAAAAAAAAAAAAAAGAAAGACGGAACAGAGTTGAGCAACAAAAAGTGCACTGACGTTCTGTTGCCTTCTGATGTTCTCGCTCCTCCAAAGCTTCTGTTATGGAGGCGTTCAGTGTCTCCTCCACCACAGAGTCTCCCTCAGCTTTCATCTCCAGCCTCTGCACGGACAGAAGACATTAGCAATGACCTAATTTTCAGTTATCAAATGGAGGTTCATGGTGATGTAGTGATCTAGTTAGACAGTCCAGAACCGAAGATGCAGGTTAAAGCCATTAAATTTCTGCCCTGCTGAGGTGCCACTGAGCAGAACGTGGGGAAAAAGATCATCACCACAATATTAACAACTACTGAATATGTAGAAAACACTCTCCAAACAATCTCTTTTGACCCAGCTTTGTGGGTTTGGGTCTTATTTCTGCAGTGTTAAACATTATGGAAAACATAAAATTGTACTCACCAATTTAATTGCTAAAATCTGAGAATGCTTCAACTTCCTTAAAACGAAACATGAGCAGTCAGATGATCAGATAAATTTGAAAAAGAAACCCCATGTTAGCCAAACTTATTTTGAAGGAGAAAATGACTATGAATGTTAGCATAATTAACTTTATTATTAACTGTAGTTGTAAATCAGATTTTTGGTTGAACTTTAACGTATGGTACTCAATGGATATTCACCAACTGTTTTCACTTTTCAGTTTTACCTCCAAATAAAGAGGTTTAGATAATCTGACTGTCCGTTTTTTAAGGAACATTTCTTTAAACGACTTTCTTCGGTCTCAGCAATTACTTTGGTAAGTTCAGTTTTATAATAAACAATAGAAACAATAGCTAAAACTATGAAAATAGGACCCAAGTTTTATTAAACCAGAATGAGCATTAAGCATATGTAGTGGTGTATTAGAATGTGTATTGAATCTCTTACACTGACAGGTTTCCTCTTGTTGCGGGCTTTATATCTCAGGCCCAGCTTGTGTTTGGCAGCAGAGTTATCCAGACATCCGAAGGGACTGGCCGGCTGACTGAAGTCCCCTGGAACCACCAGGGGGCTCACCGCTCTGCTGGAGGCAGCGCAGGACAGCTGGGAAGAGAAGGAGACAGAGACAAAAGGTTTCACTAAAAGGTTTCACAAATACTCCTCAGGCATTTGAGAATACAGGTGAATTACCTCATCCAACCAGCCAACACTCTAATCTGTGATATCATCTGGAGACACCTCTGGAGGAGTACCATTAACAAAATTTGGGCTTTGTCCATGCACGGGAAAATTGTGCCCACATGCCACTGTATCCACAGAGAGTCATGTCACTGATTTGACTCGTCGCTCTTAGTCTGGTTCCTGGCTTTGAGAAAGTAAACAGCTCAACATAGAGGTGGGGGTGTAGAGTGTGTAAATTACGATAAAAGGTGGATTATAAGGAAACCAGAGGAAATAAAGCAAGAGCAGCAAAGAGAGGGAGCAGGAGAAGGAAGTCCAGCTGTATAAATATTGGCTGTCCTTATCTGCAGGACCAACAGTCATCACAAGTATCCCTCTCTTACTCCTTACTACTAAAAATTCACATTGACTTATTTCAACATAAAAGATCAGAGGTTTTCCCTCTCATTTATTATCCATCAAAATACAAGAGCCCAAAATTATTCACAGTTTGACATCTCAACACACTCATGGGGTAACTAGACGACTACAGTGACAGTTTCAGCTGACAAATACACAGACAGATCTGCTGCTTATAGGTTTTTCAAATATCATTCTTGATGTTGTTTTGAGCATCACTCAAATCAGCTTCATTGTATTGGGTTTGTGGAGGAAGTTTAAGAGACTGATATCGCTAAAGATCAGCAAATGAAACCAAAAGTATTTATATAGCTAGATAGCTCCAGAGGTCATTGATGGTACAGTGTGTTTTTATGATTTGGGTGGACTGACCCTTTAACACTCACATTGTTGTCTTATTTTGAGCAAAACTCGTAACTAGACTGAGAGATTGTGTGACATTTAGAGAGGACATCTAAGTTTCTTAAATTTTCAGATGCATGTGTGTGTGTGTGTTGTGAGTGAGAAAGAGAGGTTGCCAGGTTGAGGCAGAAACGCTATAACTACAAGCAGACGCTCTGACTGCCAGAGAAACCATTGGAATGCACTGTGAACACACACACACACACACACACACACACACAGTGGGTCAGTGGAATAACACGTACAGTATTACGGCCAGAGGAAAGAGAGAGAAGGTCAGAAAAAAACAGACAAGGGAAGACCGAAAGTGACACACAGAGGAATCAAGAGGTCAAGTAGCAGACTTCCATTTAAGGTTCGAAGAGCAGCTTGAGGATTGGTTTTGAACCCAGCCACACACACACCCTGAGGTCCGTCTTTAAGCATCACACAGAAAACACATGACGGATATTTAGATACCGTACACCTATGTGTTTGTAAATTTACCAGTTAAATGCTCAGGTGGAAATACAAAACTGATCTGATTTAAGAGGCCATTACACCATTCAAATCAAGACAGAATAAAAAAACAGCAATGTTTTATGATTTTATGACAAGCATTTGAGTTTTACTCCCATGAGAAGAAATGAAGTTGAACCGCTCCTGTCTTTTTTGTTAGTCCATCCTCAACACTGACAATGACTGAATTAAAATCTCTTCCTGTCCGCATAACATGATGCTTTGGCCACCTGGATCCTCACCAAGCTGTAATCCCCACTTTGACACATTATCACCATATAAAGTTGATATGGCAAACCGTTGCCTGTTTACACATTCAGCAGACACGTAGCAACAGCAGCATTTATTTGGAGAATATGCAAAAAGACTGACCCAGACCCAAGTATCCATGGTGATGGACACGCTGGCTAGCACAAAAACTGTTAGTGCTGCAATGAAATCCAGGTCCCTTTTCAAAATAAAATCTCAGAAAAGCATTCTGTGTCCCTGTGATGACTGTCACGAGTTCTCAGCAAATGGAAAAGCTTCAGAAAGTACCACTGCGACTGCAATTCATAAGTTACGGCAGTCCTCCTTGACCGCATTCCTGTGTGTGGAATGCACTTTAAAAAGGGATATTTTCAGGTTTTTGTGTGCATGTCTTTGTAGCTGGCCATTTGTGGTTTTTTTCAGTGGGAAAATGACTTGCCAGACCCCTTCTGAAATGGCTAAAACAGAACTATCATTAAATGCTCATTTGTCATACTTTGCTGACGGTGCTTTTAGCTGCGATTATAGCTAGCGAGGCTAAATGGATAGCTGAGGTTTTTGGGACTTGTCTTATCACGAATTGGCACTCCTTTCTGTCTATCTGAGAAGTATTTATTGCAGTGAATTGTTTTAACTGACAGCGCCGTTAGGGAGCATATGGGACATTTCATGTCACATGGCCTGAACCACAAACACTCATACAGTCGGTCATGAGACTGACAATTTGAGGACACAGAGAAAGACAGAAAAATACAGCAATAAAATTTTTTTAATTTAAGTCACCAATAAAAGTAGGGAGTTGGGAAAAAAACTGAGATGGTCAATTTGCACGAAAGGGGCTTTTATTTTGAACCAAGACTAGTGTTTCAGTGATTAGATTGGATCATGAGAGTTTTTATCCACCATCACAGTCACATGAGAAGATATGTCACAATCACAGTAAGCCACCACACTCACACAGTCAGAAGGTTCCTCCTGGCCTTTATACATCACCACGAGATGACTTGAATGGCTGTTTGGCTGGTGACGGGGGGGAATTTACAACGAGGCTATTTGTTTTACAATAGCACCATGTGTTTGAGTTTAGAAGTTGTGGATTCAATCTTGTTTCTGAGGGCAGTTGTGTGATTATGTGAAAAAAGTTGTTTAAAGCCTTTTGTGTCGCGTTTACCAGACCTCTATTGTCCGCTCTCCAACTCTGCTTATGGCTAACGGTTTAAAGTCACATTAGCTGCTATACTAGAATAACACACCCAAATCTCGGACCAAACTGTTGAGTTGCATTGTGGATAATACATGTTTTGAGAACGCATGGAATAAATAACATTGTATCTCCATTTCTGCAGCATTGATTTATATTATTTAATTTTAAAAACAATTTAAAAAAAGTGTCCGACAACATTATAGGAGCAATGCTAAATTGATAATAGAGCCAATGAGCGCTCTCGGTATAAATAGGAACCAATCTTTGGTTCCTCGGGTGCTACCTGAAAGAACAGACAGTTTTTGACCACACACCACTACACATCTACATATATACGGCAAAGTTTGTCTGAAGAAACAAGGGAGAGTTGATTGAAATAAATGAAACCAGTGGTTTCTACAGCAAACACGACTTGCACTTTCATTACTCAAAGAAGAAACAAGTGCGTCAAGCACCTCAGGGGCTTAAAGCTTGAGCTAAGCCTCTACAGATAGCGTAAACCTTTAAGTGTTTGTTTACCTGGTCATCATCACTGTCTATTCCCTCCAGGCTGATGGAGCTGTTCCTCTGAGCCTGATTCTGAGAGATGCAGAGAGAGGAAAGAATAAGAAGAACAGTGTCCGTCTGTAGCATTCAGGTGGACTACAGATTGAGCCAATATTCAATAATATGTGTTACCATGACCGTGTGAGGTGCTGTGTATTCTGGTGGACTACAGGGCAGGCCGTCATCCTCAGACATGGTTCCAACATCTTCTGCTCTCTTCACACACATGAGGGACGGAGGAGAGCCCAGTCTGATGGCCTGCTTCAGCTGGAGCTACAGAAAAAAAAAAAAGTGTATGTTTACATCATCTATGTAGATCTAAAAACCTGGAAACACAGCCACACTTGTCATACTAGTCTCCCTGCTTTTACAGCCCAAAAATCCTCACAAGTGTAAAAAACGATTAACAGAGAATTAATTGTGAGGACAGTCAACTGGCACTCAAGAGAGAAAGTGTTTATTTTAGACCGTGTGATTGTGTGTGTGTGTGTGTGTGTGTGTGTGTGTGAGAGAGAGAGTGGGGGGGGCAGGTATCACAGAAACTCAAACTAACAGACTTGGTATCTGCCTGTTACGTGTTGCCCTGTAACAAGTCACTCAAGGACTCATTTACTCAGGTGCAGAACAAATACTGGACAATGTAGCTTTTCTTTAGCCGGGCTCGATGCTGGCACAATCCCAGTACATAAATAATGTAAGGTCATGGCCTATCTCACCATTAGCAGTTGTGTTGGAGAGCTCAACTTGCTAGTACATGAAGTTGAGTTTATTGCTAATAGATTAGTATATTACAGTTTGAAGTGTTGAGTTACAGACATATGTATTTATATTTCTGTTGTGAGATAACAGCACATGAATATGACTTGATTTAGGATTTTTTAAAAAGTAAATAATGCAGGTATGTGGCAAACACGCCAACGTTAGTATTTAAAAAAAAAAGGTTAGGATGGCACTTCCTGTATTCTTTTCCCTCATATTTGTGTGTTGCCCATTTTATGAGTGAATATCTCAGTATCACAACTGTTATAGGATATGCTAGCAAAGCCATTAGCATGTCAAATCCTTACATTGATCCTTACATAGTGTGTTTATCTGAGGCTCTGGAACTACCTCAGTCTGCTTATCAAACAGGAAGCCCAGCTCAGAGTGAGGATTAAGGTCAGGAAAATAACATTGGCTTTTCTTCCATTGGAAAATTCAGTTTATGCAAATCAGTGTTTTTACTTTACTCTCAAAGTCTTATTTCTATCTAATGCACATACTTGTGCAGTTTTATTGTTTTATTATCATTACCTGTGTCTTTCTGTCTATCTGTCGGCCTCTTGTACACTCTGCGTGGTTGCTCTCTCACTTTCTGAAACACATTCTCTGTATTTCAGCTACAGGAGAAAGTTTTCCTTTTTAGCAAATCCCCTTAAGAAACTGTTTAATTCTCACTCCCCTGTAGGTAGCTTAGTGGAGCAGTTTAACTGGAGGTCAGTCCGTCAGTCTGGGTCTCATGTCTTCCCGTTTTAGACCATTGTTGTGACAGACATTTGTTCAGTCTGTCTGCTTTTCTTTTCATCATCCATTCCTTCGCTGGGCTTTGACCGACACTTCAGTTTTAACCTCTACATATATACAGTACATCAGCTATGCCGGTCTGACTAAATATACTAACTAAATATAAAGCAAATTAGCCTCTCCCTATCAACTCCTTTATTGATAAGTACTGCGTATGACAGCTGAACTCCGCACAGGGTCGTAGACATTCTCACTCCCAAACAGCGAGAGTCTTCATTTGTTTGTTATTCCTTATAAACATGTCAAATCCTCTTTTCTTTTGCTAGGTCAGTGGTCAGGGTCACTGCGGTATCCTCCATCTTTCTCAGGGGAGTCTTTCGTTGACACAGGAGCTCACACATGGCTCCTCTGGTTGAAAAGCATCTCAAACTAAAGAGAGAGGAGGTAGACTATTGAATGTGTATTTACCTGTAGAGATTTCACTTTCCCATGAATGCTGTCCTGTGATGCCCCCAGAGGCTCGTTGGCCTCCGATGAGTCCGAAACAAAGACAGAGTCATGTGACAAGGCCTTGCTGCCCAGGCTGATCTTTGACCTTTGGGAAACAGGAAGAAGAAAAAATAAACAAAGCATAAAGTGATGTTTCACAGATTCTAAAACAAAATAAAAATAACTGGATGTTATGAGGCCTCAAAAAACCAATGACCAACAGTGGTACGGGTTGTTTATCACACTAGTATTATTTATTTTATTTCGGCCTTTTTATCAATGAATATCATAAATCGATATTCTCTTTTCCTGTTTTTTGTTTGTTGTCTAACTACATTGTCATGTCTCCCCTAATGATTCTGAGGAGGAACACAGAAAACCTTCAATAAAATTGGAGTAGATATATCCTGTGACACTGAGCAAAAGTCAAGAGTAGACAAGGCAGGAAGTGGCACCACTTAGAAAAACAAAAGGAAATTAGGACTATCCACAGGAAGACACGTTCAACTACTTGGTACAAAAACAGGAAGCCATGAGCCTCGACTGAGAAAGAACGGGAGATGGATGTTAAAACATGATCTTCCTTTCTTAAATTATCTCTCTCCTTTTCACACAACAGGAGATATTCATCTAAATGGGTGGAGGAATGCCAACAATTTGGGTAGAAACATGATACTGGCGTGCATCAAAAATGAAAACTTTTAATTGGCATCTTCTATCAGTGGCTCTGTTTTGTTGGTGAGCCCCATAAAAATTCTTGTGGTGTTCAATAAGTGGTGATTAACAAAATAGTAGCGGATTAAGGGATATCTCTGAAAAAACAGATAAAAGTAGATATTCCCAATATATAACTTTACTGGACTCTTATTTCATTGGGGTCAGTCAACTCACCTTTGGGATCTGCCAGCCCACCAAAAAACATTTAATTAGGTTAGGTTTCAGTGTCCCATACTGGACCAAATGAAGGCTTTTTTTCCCTCTGACATGACTCCAATTATGAGGGAAACAATAATAGATTAGCATGAAAGGCAAAAATGTGCTGTAAGTACGACAAAACTGCTGCCATGGAAGTCATTTGAGTCATCAGAATAACTCTGTCAGATCCATTACGATGCTCAGTTTAGAAACGATGATGCCAGTTTAAAGTCCAAACAGAAATGTTTAGACGAGGCATTCTGTAAACCTTTTCTAGCAAATAACTAACTATAATGAAATTAGCTTTTCAGCTTGTCCAAAGTGCATTTACTAAGTGGTTCCAAAACACAAACATTTCCCCAATAAACCACATAGAAGAATTTTATCCTTTTCATAGTCCCGTTGACAGGTACTTTACTATGTGTATGTAACAGGATCAATGTTTCAATAAAGGTGTTGCAGTTAACATGTGTGTCTGATCTTACCCAGAGCCCTTATCCTTCTCTGATCGAGTGAGCGTGTTATTTTCGGATGTTTTGCTGACATTGTCGCTGGACTGGCTGGCTTTAAGCCCCGCCTCTGCTCCTGCAGCTGGTGGATCCTTTCTCTTCTTCCTGGCAAAGAATTTTTTAAAGGTCTGGAACTTGGACTTCTTCTTTGCTGTGAAAACGAATGAAGAAGGAAGAAAATTAAAGAAACTGGCGTAACCCCCCTTACAGTTATATTCGACTGATGGCACTACAGTGAATCATCAAAAGGCACAGTGATATATTAATCAGAAAATTACACACAGCATCTTTACACACAGCCCTTAATAAGAACTCTAGTTTGAGCAATTGGCCCTCAGGTGGGCACCCCAAGAGAAACCACGCAACCGACAGATGAGTGTTTACACAGAGACATAGAGAAAGACACACACACAAACACACACTCTTCTGCTTGTAAACCCTCCCCCCCAGTGAGTCCAGCTCCATTAGCACCATAGTGGAAAAACTCAACAACTCTTTTATGACTCCTTAAACAGCTACAAACTGCTTTCACTGCTTTCAGTCAGCAAGGCGCTCATCCAGAATGTCCACTGGTCCTCCCTCTGTCTCACTTTCAGCAGAGCTGTTGGTTTTCTCAACATTTGGTTTTCTACTCAAATCAGATGAGTAGAAAGATATATGCATGTGCCCATGATGCGTTATTATGCTAACATGCTGTTTTCAACATGTTTATCATATTCTACATCCTAGTTTATCAGTTTAGCATGCCAACATGCGCTACTTAGAACTAAACACAAAGGGCAGCTGAGGCTGATGGGAATGTAGTTCGTTTAGCTGGTATTTTAGCAGTATTGTGACAAAAAAACCTTGACCTGCTGGTGGCGCTAGAAGAAAAGTCAAGGAATTGCCAGATTCATCCTCTGGAGAACATGAATGTCAGAACATGATCTGACTTTTATGGGAACCCATCTAATAGTAGTTGAGAATCAGTGTGGACCAAAGCGGTGGACAACTGACCAACCAAAATTGCCATCCATCAGGTCAGCATAGCGTGGCCAAATACATGTGTGGCTAAAGTAGGTGCCAGGTTGTGACAAAAAAGTGTGGAATAAAAAACATATTGATGATAACAATATCTCTGATTCTGCGGCATCAATTTTGAAGCATTGCTACATTGTCGTTCTCTTTTAAAGATGGTCATAGATTAATCTGCATCTACCCTCTCTCAGTGCAAGACAACAGTATAGCTTAATAGCACCAAGCATTGCATAATGCATAATGCAGGACTACATGACCTCTGACTTGAGTAGGTAAATGAACATTGCAATACAGACAAAAGTCATAGACACACCACAGGCTGACACATCCTCACGGTTACAAAAACTAATTTGGAGCATCTCCAGTGGAGAAATATTTGGATATACTGTCCCATCGTGCAGATATGTTAATCCCCAGAGACTGTTTTGTGTCTCAACACTGTCCAGAGGGAAACACAGGAAAAAGGAGCTGTGAACAAAGAAGAAGCCGGGAGTAAAACAATGTGATCCAACTATTTTGAGAATTTACATCCCTGGGCTTTAAAAATGCTTTAGAAGAGACACAATTATTTTAACACTAGCTGTGTCATTTTTGTTCTTCGCCCTGTGGGGAATCCTTGAGCATTGCCTCTCTTTCTCTAAAAATACACTTTCTGGTTGGAGCTTAATCACAGCTGAAAAATGTCTGGAATCTAAACCTGGTACCGGGGCCAAGAAGCTTAACATTTCTGGATAGTTTGCTAAAAAGCGCGTCACTAAATGACTTAGCTTGTTTACGTTTATGTTATAGATTTTACATTTCATGTCACATGCACATATAAGCATCTTGCTTTCTTTTCTTTTGAGATCTGGTGTGTGTTTTTGATAAATATCAAAATAAAATAAAAAATCACAAAAAGAAAGTCACAAAAATGAACTACAAGTCTTTCTTTTCTGCATAGAGTGCTAAATATAGCAGCTGCAGCACAATTGTGATGAGCTACCATCAAACCACACATAGAAGACAGTCACTTTTCATACACTTTCTGTGAAGAAATGTTGGCTGCACATTCCCCTCTCTTTTGTCTGGACCTTAATGTGAACTGCTATATTTATTTGAGGAGCTTCCAACCTGCTTTTGATGACGCTTCCGAGGCCTTTCTGCACTGCCAAGAAGAAAAATCAGAGGGAAACACCAGCCGACAGTGCTATTTATTGTGCTATTTTAGGCACAATACAGTATTACATTAAAGGTCTGCACTCAAGTGAAAAAGGCCACTGCTTCAATGGAAGGTCAGTGGAGCTCTCTGGCCATTGTGGGTCTAAGGTCTATGTCTATCATACTGTTATTTCCAAATATACATTCTTTCAGTTGCAAACATGAACACACACACACACACACACACACACACACACACACACACAAAATAGCATCATGGGAATTTAAGGTCAATTTTAGGGGGAACTGACCTCAGCATGCACAATGAGAAGATGGTGACCTTTGACAGGGAAACAATGTCATGGACAGAGTGAGAAAGAGGAGGAGAAGGGAACCTAAAACAAAATGTAGAAAAAGAACCGTCTGCATTGTTTTTGGGTCATTGTCAGGAGAGCTGGAGTGAAACGTTTTGTATTCACTACAAGGAGAGGAGGATCAAGGAGGAGAAGAGGAGGAAGGTGGGGAGAGGATGAAAGGTCTTCAGTGTATTCTTATGTATAACTAAAGAGAACGGAATTAAAGAAAGAAGGGAGCAGGGCCAAACTTGTATCATTTCTATTTAAAGGACTGAGATGGACATGACTGACTCAATGATCTGCGGAGTCATGCAGACCCCACGCCTGACGTTCAGCTCTCCCATGTGAGTCGAACAGAAGTGAATTACCAAACCTAGCTTCCTGCTAGAATCAACACAAATTGTCTCATAAATATCATAATCAAAGAGTTTTGTTTAGACCTAATCTAGTCCACATAGTTGGACTGTGGACGTGTGCTCATGTTGTGTTCCCAACAGCACTTTGGTTAAACTTCCTCTTGTGGCTTTACCCACACAGACAGCTCTCTGACCTCCCGATGCACTTCTTCCTTGTTCCCATTATATCAGCAGCATAATGTGCTATCCATCTGTATAGACAGTGTGCATCTGTGTTTTGTTTGTGTGTGCGCCTGTATATGAGTAAGAGATGATGATAGCTTTCTCTCTTCCTTCATTTCCTGCCAACAGCAGTAAGGAGATCTAGATTGTTAATGCCGGCGTGATCTACCCTGCTGTGTTTGTGTGTGTGTGTGTGTACAAAATCTCGTTGCGGATATGATGTCCAATTCTATGTACCACTATCCACCCTATTCTGACACTAAAGTACTTTTTTTTTTTTTTGTCCTAGGTAGAAACTGCAATTCCTGAGAAACCAGTTTAAGATAACAGTTTTGCAATTAGGTCCCGGTGACAGAATATAGAGAGGTGTCCCAAATTTTGAAATTCAAAAGCTAGAAACATTCAGTTTTGTTAATATACTTTGTGAGACGTTTCATCTCCACATCATGAATGAACTGCAAACTTTGCACTTCATGGCTGTGGTCACATTGGCCAGAACTTTTGAGTGTAAACGTGATGGAGGTTCTATTGATTCTCTGAATTAGCTGGTTTCCACGTCAATTTATCATGACATTTTTTGATATTGTGGGGGGAAAATTACTTGACAATTCTTTATATTTAAACCACAGAAAAAGGTCAAAGAACACAATGTTTGATAGGATGTAATATTATACATTATTACATATACAGTGCCTTTCTTCACTGAAACCTCATAAAAACCTTTAAACTGAACATTTAATCAAATTGTTACCTGAGCACTCTTCCACGACCTCAGCAGCCTCCTGATTGGCCATCACATCTGGAGGTCCTGATGCCATGGCAGCGCTGTCACTACTGTGGGACAGGAGAGAGACGGATGAGCAGAACTGTTCCTCATAAAAACATCTGGGCAATATTTTAATGATAACATGACTAATTGGATGGATTTATACTGTTTGCACAATACAGCACAGCACAATATCAGTGAACTGTACAATACCAACAATACACAGAGATTCCAAGAGGTCAAGGCAAGGGAGGATGCTCATGCTTTCCTGACAATAATGCATATAACCAATTTAATTTAGGAAGATGGGAAGATTAAATAAAACCTTAAATCCCCAAGTGTTTTATTGGAATCAATCATTCATTTAGAATTTGGTAAAAGGGCTCATCCTGAGGACAGCTGCTTTATTCCAAAAGATTTAAATGGATAAACCTGGAACCTCTGTGTTACAGCTAATCTGTCATTAACCATTAGATCCTGACTGCTGCTGTGCCATGTGTGTAGAAATATCTAAATTGAACAAAATTTTCACATTGTTTCTGCTGACCCCCCCCCGGCTCAGTCATTTTGTGTGTCTTTATTTTAATCTGCCTCTATCTCCTTATATTGCTCATATGCCAGCCTGACCACTTGCTATGTGATCAGGCTCGCTGGATTACAACGTGATTCAAGTCCCATTGTGGAGTGTCGTGACTGCCAGTAAAAGTGACTTGGCACAAGTGAATGGCAAAATCTGAAACCACAGAAAGACTACACAGACAGAACAAGTTCATTTGAAGGATTACATAGTCGGCCTTAACAAGCCACTGCTTTATAAAATAATTTCAACACCTGTTGGATAAACTCCTAAATGCATGAGCATTGTTCTGTTCCTTCATTCCTTAAAAGCCTTGTGCTACACTTCAGTCCAATCTAAATCCAATCTCCAGTCCAATCCTTCTCTACAATCCAAACAAACTCAACAGAGGCATCTCAGCTATGTTTCCAGTGTTCTGCTCTGCCATCATCCACTTCTGGCTGCTGAAACATTCACGTCTTAGCACCAGCAGATGCCCAGCAACCCCTAATACAAACTCAAACAGAGGTGAAAGCACATTACTAACTGATTTCTTGTTATTGCTCTCATTGTGCAGCAGCATGGAGGTCACTACGTTCTGGCTGCTCACCTTTACTGTGTGAGACAACAGTATCAGAGGTCAATATTGGACGCACTTCAAAATTGAAATAAAATTGTAAAGTGATCATCATCACAAATCTCCTGTGTCTTTTTGAGTCACTTGACTTTATTTCACAAGACCATTATTATGCCATGTGCAGCATACAGGAAGCAAGAGGCCATGTGAGAGTTCAGCTCCAGCATGTTGAACCAGTTAGCTGCTCTCTCATACAGAGGGCCCATTAATTCACCAAGTTTTACTCCCTATTCTAGTCTCAAATCAAATTAGCTATGCACTTTATGTACAAGATTTCCTGTGTAGTTTGGCAGGAAGCTGAGTCATTCCTGATATGGATTTTCAGTAAACTGATTTCTCAGAATAGTTGTGGCTATGTCACCTTCCATTTGGTCCAGTCACTTTCATGGAATCTATGCGAGTTTCATGAGAATAGGATTGGGGAGGAAGAGATGGGAGTGCCCTCTTAAAGTATCTCGGGAACATTTCATTAATAACAAGCCTGAAACCACCCAGCCTCCAAAACAGCTGTGAAGGGCTACTACAAGGCAGATGTTCAATATCACATAGAGCGGAAACAGGTCGAAAGAACAGTGAAAACTAAATGTTTCACTTTTCTGGTAACAGAAATTTCACGTTATTCTCATGTTGGTGAGTCGATCCACTTTGGATGTATTGCCATGATATGTACATATATATACAGGCATCCAGTGCAATATTTTGTGCTTAGCTTATTAGCATGCTAACAAGCTAAAATAAGATGGTGACACACAGTAAACATTATCCTTACTAAACATCAACATGTTAAAATTATTATTGTGAGCATGTTTATGATGTTTGCACTTAGCTCAGCACCCTCTCACAGAGCCGCTAGCATGGCTAGCACTTTTTAAGCTTTTTTGAGTCTTGTTTAAGAACAAACAAGCTTTCCACTTCCTTATTACAACCGGGAACCTGCTGATACAGTGTCTCCTTTCCCTCAATATATTTCTATGGCAACAGTGACATCCCAGAGGAAAAATCTTTTGCTCAGAATGGTCTTTTCTTTAACTCTTGAGAAAACACTAAGATCTCAATAGTATATCTTTTTGAGATCACTCCAATCTGAATTGTTGCTCCTAAAACCCCTTAGGAGAAAAGGATGAGATTGCGGTTTTGAGACTTAGGTAAGACAAATGGATACTGAATAGAGATTGCAATAGGATAAATGAAAGTAACAGATGAGATTCATCATTCATTCATGAGATCATTGTACCTTTTTGAGTTCATTAATGTCTTGCTTATTGCTCCTAAAAAGCTGTAGGGAGCTCTGGGGAGATGTTCATGAGCTTGATTGTATCACATTACTGTGCTGGAGGATTTCCCTGAGCTGGATTTGAACCCTGCTTCTGCCATCCAGATGAAAGCAATAATGTAGGACTTATTGTCTTTATAGAGCAATACCATATCCACATTTGAAGTCCTCAAAATTCTACTCAAGTAAAAGGTATAAAAGTATTCCATAGTGAATGTACTTAAGTATCAAAAGTAAAAGTTCTTATTCTGTATGACAGATACATGTTGTATCTCAGTTCTTGCATGCGTTCGGTCCTTAATGAATTCATCTCTAAACATCATGTCAAAGTATTGAGTGTTCCAGTTATGCTGGCTGTGACTACCTTAACAAATTGGAAAACATGACATATGAAAGTGCATTATTTTCAATGTCAAAATTTATTTTATTTTTCTCAGTAACTTGTAACAGATAATTAACAATAAATACAATAAGGATTTGAAATTAAGGGGAGTAAAAGTACAAACCCCCATAAAAAGAAAATACTCAACCTCAACATTTAATGTAAGTAAAGTACTTGAGTAAAATAACCCCTAAGTGGGGTCACTAAGACAAAACTGAGAAATATCTTGGAGCTTTTTTTCTGATCCACATTCTGGACTGAAACAGAATTGAACAGTTATTTAAGATACTGTAAATCTCATCTTTTGATCAGAGTAAGACAGAGATGAGTTATTTGCTCCTGAGGCCAATATGAGAAAACTGAGACATATTTGAGAAGAATCATGAGATCCCAGGAGTCATAGCTGAGTTTTCTTTGAGCTCTTTCTCTGATCTCATGGTCCAATGTTCAGGAGACTTAAATCAGACTTATTTAAGATCAGTTAGAGATCTCTTGTTTTGATGAATTTGAGAAGTGGGAGAAAAGGCCTTTGGTCTCACCTTGGTATTAAAAGCAGCTCATTTGTGTCTAGGAGAAAAGAAGGAAACAACTATGAGATCTCATCTTGGATTTTGCTTTCCTATGGGATGTCATGTTGGAGAAAACCATAAACTGTGTATATAACCATGTAAAATTTCATGAAAATGTGTGGCAAGTGAAGAACCTACAAAGGAACACATTAAACACAATTCCTTGACACTAAAACTGAACAATAGATTACATTCAAGGGAAAATAAGGCTTTTAGCCATGAATTTCTAAAAGTATTCTCATCGTAAGGTTTGTTTTCCTTTAGAAGAAAAACTCTGAGCAAAACACCAATTGACTATACCAGCTACTTAAAATTACAAAGCTCTAGCAATAATGTTATAGGGTAACTGATGACCCCAGAATCAAACTGCAAAAATAGTTTGCTTAACCGTAGGCCAATGCAGATGAGAACCATGGGAATTTGACAGTAATAAGGATAGCATCATAACGCCTGCTAAGTTTCCATGTCAACAGACCCCTGTCCTTGGCATCTGCTGATGAAGACCACGTGATTTGGTTGATAGCTTCATGAAAGCTAGTAAGTCGACTTTTAGATGGGATCATTTTTGCAAAACACTATAATATGGTAGAGAAATTTTGTAATGTCTTCAATTGTTTTTTAGAAAGTTTACAAGACAGCCATGTTTCCCACGTTTGCTAATGTCAACAGGCTCTTTCTCTCCATTAAGACAAGGGGCTGGAGAGCTTCTTGTCAACTGTGTTTACAGTGAGTTTGTATTATAGAAACACATGGAACATTCCACAGGGTTTGTTGACATGCTTAGGGGCTTTCGTCAGTATTACCATTACATAAACATGAGCTATTATCATCATCTGAAGACTTCTTAAAGTCATAAGAAACACCTTCGTCTCCACCTTTACATTTCTCATCGTCTACAGCAGAAAGAGAAGCAACTGAACAAAATTGTACCAGTCTGTGAGATCACTTCTTTAATAAACCTTCAACTAACTATATTTACATTATTTTGATACTCGCATCATGGCATCACACCACAATCAAAGACACACGCTGCTGTTGCTGTTGTTGTTGTTGTGGTTGTTGTTATGAGCTGACTGGGCTGGACTGATCCATTTCCTGTCTGATGCCACAGGAAGACACTGCAGCCAAGAGTTCACCCCACACACACACACACACACACACACACACACACACACACACACACACACACACACACACAATACACACTTAATAACATCTCTAGGAAACAGATGGATACACAAAGAAACTAACAGATAAACACAGACATTCATATAGTATGTTGTCTATGATATAAACTCAGGAAACAACGAAGTGTCAGGGAGAGAAGGGAAACCAGTCTCAACACCCAATAACACCACCAAAGGAATACATGTTCTAACAGCAGGTGAGAAAACTGAACATATCACATTGTGCAAATATGCAAAGGCATTGATATTTTAAAATTTAAGCTGTTTGAAAGTTGAATACATAGAAGTATATAAAGTATATAAAGTCTGAGTTTAGTGAGATGTTTTCCAATGAATTAATAACTGGAAATATTACAGTTGCCAATTGTTCAATTGTGGGAAATAGGCTTATTAAGGTTCTTATCGAGATAAGATGAGAAGATCAATATGGAGCTGAAGCCAGGAGAATGTTAGCTTAAGTTAGC